ATGGGGTGCAGGGCCAGCCCCAGGCCTGCGGCTGGGAGCCCAGCTCTCCACTCTGGGCGAACCTCACCTTGGTCTGTCAGTAGCAGATGCCACGCCCTCCACCCCCCCCACCCCCCGCCCCCTGCCAACAAGGAACTAGACAGTTCTCAACTCTGAAACTAGCACTGGGTGGAAAAGATCAAATGTAATCCCCACCACTGCCAAGTGTATGTAACTGGTGCATAAGTGCACTTATGAAATATCTGACATCAAGTTAAGAAAATAAAGGTGGGGGATTCCACTCTGAACCATTTCTCAGGAATAAAGGCCATGGTTACAGCATCTGCTTTCCTGTATGGATTCACTCGTTCGTTCCTCAAAGATTACAGGGTCCCCGTTATGTGCCAGACACTGCACTGAGGATGAAGGTATGAGATCCTCAGGGGCTCACGAGCTCATCAAGAAAGAGATGTGCCAACGCACAGAGCCCAACAATCAGCAAGGATGTATGCAGAAAGCACAGCAAAGTACAGGAACAGCGACGCTTAAATTGTGATTGAGTTGATTGAACAAGTTGGAAAAGAGCCAGGAAAGTGTTCGATTTAGGAACTCAAGAATTTTCCTTTCCACCGAAAGCAGCTCTGTTTTGCCATGCCATGCCCCTTCAACTCAGAGTCTCAGTTCTTGCTAAAATGAAGACATTCTATTCCCAAGAAGCTCTGGTAGCCTGAGGCCTCCTGTGCAGTGGATAAAACCCCCAAATAGAGCGACACAGAAACAAACTCGTTTTGTTATCAAGTAAGAAAAGACCATATTCTTGTGGCTCTTGGAAAGGAAAAACATTATGTTCAATCATTTTAGTAAAATAACATTTCCTCTACTCAAAAAAAAATACATATTTATTGGGTTTATCCACTTATTTCCAAAAAAGTATTAGAGGCAGCTTCCTCTGATTTCTCTGTGCTTTGTTGAGAACATAGTAATATTATTTCAGCTTATTTCCAGCAACTACAAGAAAATTTTTTAATATATGTACCTCTATAGCCAAAAAGAGACTATGCACTTCTCAAAGACAGAGGCCAAGTATTCTAAACATTTCGTGAGAGATCAGCAGACTCTGGACAGATGCACCACGACCAACCACTGCTACTATTCCTCTTTCCCCTCCTCTGAGGGAAGAGGAGGAGGAGCTGCTCCTGTGTCTATGTGCCTGGGACCGTGCGGTGGCTCTTACAAATATTATCTCACTAAATTCCCACAGCAACCTTGGAGGCAGGAATTGTTTTTCCTGTTTCTAGGCAAGGAGATTAGAAAGGTTAGGTAGGGGAGCCGCACCACTTCTAAGTCTTAGCGTCAGAATACAACACCAAGTGTGTCAACTTCCAAGCTTGGGCTGTAACTGCTACAATACCCTTAGCATCAGGTACCTTTGAGGCCTTCAGAGAAGGAACACAAGCCAGAAATAATGGGAACAAACTGGTGTATCTTAAACATCCACTATATACTCCACTCCTACTGTTTCA